AAAAATCTACTTTATAGTAACAAACGTAATCTAATCAGATAACGTAGAGGATAGTAATCGTTCCAATTTTTGGTTGCTGATCATGGCAAAACGGATAGAGATCATTATTATTATTGTTGACGTTTTAAATACATTAAACGGTAATAGGCCTTTGTTCTCTGATATTTGATAAGAAAAAAAAAAAAAAAAAGAGATTCGGCGACCTTTCCGCTCTACATACCGCGCGTTTCGCAACTATTTTTACATTTTTTCCTTTAATGTTAAAGGTTCGTACCTGAAAGAGGAAAATACAGACTGAAGGCAGCGTGCTCGCTTCACTAATGAAAAATCAACATTTAAAAAAAGAAAAAAAGAAAATTGTTCGCATTGATTTAAACGATCGAGACATCTTTTAAACAGGCTTTGATGCACTTACAAAAAAATGCTTCTATGAAATTGACGATCTTTCCGACTCGAAGGTTCTGGGGCAAGTGCTGAGCGGACAAGCGCACAGTCCTCTTAGCAGAAGAAAATTTCTCACCATCACCTCGCTCCGTGGCCAGAGATCCTCTTTTCCTTATAACATCTCTTTTCTTAAACATTTGCCGGGATTTCTCAAGTTTACTGGCGATTCGGTTCGGTTCCCATAAATCATGAGAAGCTAAACCCTCGACGAGCTACTCGGGCTTCGTACAATATATTGCGATTGCAGCTCGTTTCCAACGTGCGTTTAAATTACTCGGTAAAAGAGCGAGTCCTATTTCTTCGATTGAACAAACGAACACGATTGTAAATAAATTGCAAACTACAAATAAATATAATTGTACAGAAAGATCCAAACATCGCGTCATAAATTCGTCACAGTAATTGTACAAACATCCGTCAGTGTGCTAAAGGGCCATTCGGTTCACAGCTGACCACATCGGTTAAGAATTTCATAAAACCGTTTCCCAGCTGCTCGAACGTGGAACGTGGAATTCATTTGCTTTCCCCCAGGCAAGCGTGATGAATTTATTTTTCCGTTCCGAAACCGACTGTCCCAAAGGCAAACGTAACGAACGCCATCCCACCATTTAACAAGGGTTGGTTCGTGTCCAACACACTGGCAAATCGGCGGGAACGAGTACTCTCGCCCCGTTGTCCGATTCGAGCAATTCGACGAGCACCGCGAGTGCAATAGCAACCGTGCACACGTGCTTCGTATGCGCCAGCATCGCATTCGTAAGTGACACAACGAACCGATTGTCCGCCTTATATGGAAAATAAATTTCAACGCCCACTGGACGCGCAGAGGATCGGCCTCGAGCAGTGTGATCGCACACGCGCGCGCGTTACTCTCACTTTTGCATTGCGTTCCTTCTCTCCCAGGAGTGGCAGTTTGCAACGAGAGCGAGGAAGCGTAGAAACATGCACATCCCTTGGTCTGCAAGTGGAAGCCAGTTGTCTTTCTTCTCGACTGTCGTCGTCGCTTGCACTTTGGAATGCTTCGCTCAGGTCGTACGAAAAGTAGCGAAAAGTGCCATTCTGACCGATGCTTTCTTAGCTTTTGCGGCTCCGTTGCGAACGTACGCTAACGTGCATAAAGGTCTGGCTTCCGGCGTTGCCCTTCCGTAACACTGAAAACGGCATTTGACTTTACCGTTGCAAAAACGATCGATCCTCCTTCTATCTCTCTCTCTCTCTCTCTCTCTCTCTCATCTATCTCTGGTCGACCGTTTTCCAGTGCAACGGGTTTCACGGATCGGGAAAAAGAGGGTCGGCGATTATTTTTAGAAGTTAGGGTCGGAAAAAGTAATAATTAAGCGGGCCTCGATCGACGAGGAACCGACCGGATCGATCGGCAAAAAGCGAGATTGACGGAGGCTTCCCCTGCTGAAAGCGGTCACGTACCGATTGCAATTTGCGATCTCGATTGTTCCAGCTGCACGCCAAATTGCCTTTCTTATCGTTCGTTACTACACGTGCAAAACACGCGCCGCAGAGAATCGCAGTTGCTCGAGACGAAAAGAGGCTCGAATAATTTACGGACCGATCACCGCGATCGCTCCGGTGTCGCCAATGTCCGCGATTTCGATTTCGAAATCATGCAACGCGTGTTCAAAATTTGCAACGCGAAGGACGAAGTTTAAGAACAGAACAGGTAGATTTTGCTGTTATCTTTACGAACGTGGGAATCGACAGACAGCGGATCGCCAAGTGTCGAACGAACGACCTTGAATGAAATTCTTACGATGCATATTTGCATACATCTCTGTTCTCTGTCACGATATTCTGTTTCTTCGTGTATTGCGTATCGTACACGTTTCGTGTGTTTTTTTCAACGTGTGCACACACGCTGGTCAAATATACCGAGAATATAACCAACTGTTACAATCATCTAGATTTACATAATGATTCTGTTGCAACAGTTAAGCCCTGTAGTATATAACTGTGATGCACACAGCTGCTACGGAAAATAGCTCGGCGTGTATCAGCTGTAAATAATGCACAGTCACGATCTATAGAGGATGCACTTCTATTTGTGCAGAATATATAAAACGGAGACTAGTAAAAATATCATACCGCGCAAATATCATCACGTGTAAATCGAAATCGAAATCGTTTGTACGTTCGAACGGTGGAGGAAGGATATGTGTAAACGATCACACTCTCCTTCGTTCGAAGATGGCAAAGAAGAGCAAAAAACACGCCTGTGTGTGGACCGAGACGAAAGTCTACGAATCAAGTACGAGAAGGATGCGCTTTATAAAACAAATTCCTCGCGACCTGTGTCTTAATACTGTAAAAATAACTGACCTGTTAATCTTGCTCCATTATTAGCAGCGGGAAGAATGGCGACGACGGTGAAAAAAAGGAGGGGAGAAGGTGTACCCGTGTATTATATTCGCGAATATTTGTCCGACTGACGCGTCACGCCAGTTCCGGTTTCTTTTCCTGCCAACCACGCTACGAAGAAGAGCACATTTGCGTCAGGACTACGTCCGCGTGCGCTACGTCAAAGCGAAGACGACGACGACGACTGTGTACGGCTAGATTGGTGAACGAAACCGACGCAAAAATACATTTTCTTTGAAAGCCACGGAAGTATGAAAGGAATGAACGAGAGATAACCCCCCACCCCACGCGTGCCCCCGTACCGCCGTTTAGTTTAAAATTAAACTAACGCAACGTTGTGAATTTACGCGCGCAGCAACAATCAACAAGCACACGATTCGCGTGCCTTCGAATATATCTCGAAGATATTCGCAAGGAATTACGACGGCGCTTTTCAATGCAACGTGGTATATACGCGCGCGCGGTTCACCTTACTTACATAAGCGAATCTCTCGCGCGTGTGCGACGAGTGAATTTATCCTTCCCTGCGAGCGCAGCGATTCCAATCGTTTCATCGATTCGAGATTTAACAGACTTGTTTACCCCGTTCTGTTGAATAAATGACGTAGAGAGAATTGTTGACGGACTAGATGGTTGGCGGTTTACGTAATTGTCGATTGATAACACCGTGAAATAAGAGAGGGCGGTAATTCAACCTTACACTGTCGATCAATGGTACACGATCGATTCAGCTGGGAGGGAGAATTAAAGGGATTGCAAGAGGCGACCCCGGTTTTTGGCCATTAGAAACGTAACATTTTGTCTAGTGGTAAAAATTACTCGAGATGAAGATCGGTAATTCTACAAATCACAAAATCGTAAAATTCCAAAACCACGCAAGACTTGCCATTAGCTGATCTAGAATCTAGACAACGCAGGAACCGAATTTGAAGATCCTTTGTTGTTCGTATTCACATTTATTATATATATGTCCAGCAAGATTCAACGTAATTTCATACTCTCACAATAGTTTCTCTCGATTCGCTAGAATTGCCTCCTCGTAACCGCGGACCCTTTGATTCTCCTTTGCAACAACCGGATATAGTCGTGGCGAGTGGCACATGTGCGCCAGAGAAAATACTTCTTCGTATTGTGTCCGATCGGGGCAATCTCAGAGGCAGAGGCAGAGGCAGAGGCAGACAAAAGTTGGTGCTCTAAGGTTCTAAGAAAAGCGAGTGTATGGAGTGTCTCGAGTGCCGTTGGATCTTCTCACCACAGCGCGAGGCCAGTCTAGGTTACAAAGTTAGTCGACCATTATTTTTGGTCGAGTTGTCACGACGCGTATTTCTACCACCGTGATGGGCACAACACCAGAGGCCAGAGACGTTGTGCTGCAGAGCCGTTTCGCCCCGATTGAAATGCACGGTATGCGGAAAATGGTTTTACAATTGGCTATCGACTGCCTGGTAATTGATTCGACGCATCGTTCGGTATCGTTCGGCGATGTGCGTCATTATTGACGGACCGATTTAAGAGCGGAAATAAAATCCCCGTCGGGGATATTTTTGCGCCGCAAACTACCGGATCTGTCATCAATTGCCAAAGAAATAAATTATTCACGAATCTTCTTTGTTCTTTCAGTCGATCCGAGGTCGATCCAGAGAAACGGATAAAAAGTTGGAAATTAATGCAAAGACTATATATACATTATATTATATCTACGTTTCAACTTATAATAAAATGGAAACGATTCGATTGACCCAGTAACCTGCCTTATCTGCGCTCCGTTACTTAATTACCAAGCAATTAATAACCAAACCACATGTAAATTCCAGCCCGGATATTCAACACTGTTCCAGGTCGTTCTTTCCTTTCCTTTCCTTTCCTTTTCTTTTCTTTTTTCTTTCTTTCTTTCTTTCTTTCTTTCTT